CTGGACCATTCCCAGGCTCTCTGGAAACCCCAACCCTGGCGCCCCTGGTGGACTGTGCAGGCTGGTGGGAGCTGATGAAATTTCCTTGCAAGAAACAGCCCAAATCACATGTTTCAAACGCAAACCAGTGGAAGCAAAGGCCCCACACGAGTACCTTCTCCCTCCTGCAGAAGAACTGAGAGGGTTCCTGGGAATAAACCCAAAATGGTCCCAAAACACCCTTACCTACTGGTAAGTGAGCCAGACTTAGACGCCCTCAAACAGATGGGCAGAAATTGTTTTCTTGACAAAACAGGACCAAGGGCCAAAAAGTAAAACCCATCAACTCGAGAGGAGGCGCCTGGAAAGTTTTCTTGGGAAGTCCCTGTAAATGTCTAACCTCAGTCCTTCATGCTTCAGTTTCAGCCATTTCTTTTCCTTCTGTTCTAGAGCACAGGAACAATGTCTCTTTTCACTGCAGCCTGTCTCGGCTGCTCTTCTCAGCTCCCAAATAGCCCCAGTTTGTTATCAGCAGCTTTCCTTTCCAACTTTCTCACTCAGAAGCAGAAGCTTTTGAAACGTAGGTGGTGATCCGCTCCCCTCTGCCATTTCTCTCAACAAAAGCCGGGCAAAGGAGTCTCATCCAAGTCGAACCAAAAAACTGGCTCTGGCTCTGCCCGCGCCAGCCCCATCCCACTGGGGAGCTGCCAGCTCTGCACCTGCCCTGCGGTGGCGCCTTTGGCGAAGCCATGCCCCATTTCTGAGTCTCAGTCTCCCCATCTGCGTACCAACAGGGGCTGGTCTTACATTTCCGCAGTCCATTCCAGTTCCTACCACTGTCAGAGCTGCCCACCCCCATGCTGGCCCTCGCTCTACCTCTCTCCCCGCCAAAAAGAGGAAAAGAAACTTGCGTTAGGCGTCTGGGGAGGGCGCGCGGCTCCGAGTTGTCAGGGTGCGCGGTTGTTGCCGGGTGAGCGAACCTCACACAAATCCCCGGACGGGAAAGTCCCACCTCCGGTAACCACAGCTACCCGGCCACACCTCTAACCCAAACACAGCCCTCCGCCGGGCCAAGGACCACCTCCAGATTCTCCGTGGACCCTTCCCCTCCCTTTGACCCGCGCCAGCCGCAGGCAGGGAGAAAAAGCCAACGCCCCCATTGTGCGGAGGTGGAGACTGAGGCCGGAAGGTGGAGACCGCCGGGTTTGGACTCGGGATGGATAGCCCATCCGGGACTCCCTCCCGCTCCCAGAGCGGCGATCCGTCTCCTTCCGAGACGGGTGTGCGTGGTTTCCACGTGGGAGAGACCGAGAGCAGCACCGTCCCCGTGGACCCAGGCCCATCGCGCTGCCCACCCTCCCTCCCCATTCCCCCGACAGAGAAACTGAGACCCAGCGAGGGGCCGGAACCTGCCGCGTACCCACCACGAGCCCCTCCCCGCTTCTCACCTGCTGGCCGCCGCTGCGCGGGGTGGTTTCCTGGAGTTGAGCGGCAAACAAAGGCCTCCAATCCGGGCGCGGGGCGGGGCGGAGGTATTTTGCATAATCCCCGAGGCCGGCCTCTGACGGGCGGGGTGCGGCCCCAGGAGGCGGGGTCTCGAAGTTGCACCAATCACAGAGAGGTGGCAGCCTGCGGCCCGCCCTTAGGGACTCAGACTCCACTCCACCGGGAAAAATCTCAAATCTAGGAGGTTGCATGTACTAGTACCTCCGGTAACCCGTCGGGCTGCAGACGCGAGATTGAAGCCCGGAGTTAAGACATTTGTGCAAGGTTGCAATGAGGAAGAAATAAAACTTTCCGAGTGGAAACGAACTGCTTCATAACAGTAGTAATAATACTGTAATAAACTTTTCTTGAGCACTTATTATGTGTCAGGCACTGTTGTAAGCTCTTACTATGGACCCATCCTCTCCTATGAGGTACGTTGGTATTATCATGAGTATATTCTAGTCCGGAGCAAGTGGGGAAACCCAATCCTGGAGAGAAACAAGAATCTGCCCAAGGTCCCGCAGTGAATACGAAATGCACCTGGAAGAATGGCTGTGTACAGTGTCAGACTGGCCTAGGCACTTGCCCCAGTTCTGCCACTGGCTGCCACTGCGCTTCAGATAAATGGGATTTGTAGCTCTTACCTCACAGCGTTGCTGAGGGAAGTAAATAAATAACATGGCACTAGAACTATCTATAATAATAAAAGCGTAATATATGCTAATTAGACCGGACAAAGCGGGGCTGGGAGGGATGCCCAGTCCCAGGTGCTGGAGGGAAGCTGGTGCCGGCAGCCGGGGAAGGAAGGCCTACTCTTGCATGAATGTCATGCATCGGGCCTCTAGTAAGAAATAAAACAACGGACCTAATTGAAAGAGTTCCTAGAAGAATCGTACTTCACAGGGGAGATGAAGAGGCCTGGAGATAGGAAGTGACTTTCCCAAGGACTTGCATCCAGCTATGTTGCAGCCCAGTTATCAGTCCCCGGAGGTTGCCAGTGGCTCCCTGTACACATCTCTAATGGTAATTACAACAGCAGCTTCTATTCACTAAAGGCCTTCTCTGACCCAGGGAAAAATTTTAGCAAACCCTCACAATAATTCACAAGTTAGGTTAGTATTATGCTCCCCGTTTAAAGATGAGGAAACTGAGGCTCAGTTTAAGTGACTTGCCCACTTACACAGGCAGAAAGTGGTGGAGGTGGACTATGATGCCAGGTTTTAGACACTAAGGTGTGCACCCTGAGCTGTGCCTTGTTTGTCCTGTACTCCCCACACTGGGCTACTCCATGCTCCCGCCCCCCCCCGCTTTCTCTCAAGCAGAGAGGGCTCCAGGGGATTTAAAGGCCAATTTGGCACTTGCTTGGGCAGACCCCAGCTCAAGCCAAAAACTCATCTTCTGTCTTCTTCTAGCAACACACCCTGAGATCCTCTAGCCATACCTCCCCCCTCCAGCTCTGGTGTCATGAGTAAAGATCTTAGGGCCACAGGTACATGTATCCCAGGTGGACTTCTGGCCCCTCCCTCTTACAATACTCAAAGCTGCCTTCACCCATGATCCCTTCATCCATGATCCTTTTCAAAAGACAACACGACATGTGCTTATTCTGGGGCTTCATGTTGTTGATGCCAGGCAGTCAGAGGTCTAAAATTTGTCTTCTACCACTCACTAGTGATGCAACTTTGGGCAAGCAATTTGACCTTTCTAAATCCACTTGCAACGGAATTTTTTAGGTTTAAAATTCCACGGCTCCAGAGTCAGTCCTAGCAATTTCAGAAGCAACGGTTCTAGAAACTCATTCTCATCTTACTTTTTTCAGATTACAAACTTGGGCTGCAGCTGCTGGAGCTCTCTGTCCCCTGGGCCTGGGAAAGGGGTGGCATTTATAAGATCAGAAGGCCCCTTTCTTTGTTCACCATCACCCTGACTGCAATCATCTCCCTGGGGCTGACTCTGAGCCTGGTCCACACACAGCAGCATCCCCATGCATTGGCTTCCCGTGTCTGCTATAACAAATTACCACCAGTTCCTGGCTTAAAACAACACTAACTTGTTCTCTTACAAAGAGAGGTCAGAAGTCCAAAGCCAGTCTCACTGGTTCAAGTCAAGGTGTCAGCCAGGCAGGTTCCTTCTGGAGTCTGAAGGAGAACCCGTTTCCTTATCCTTTTCAGCTTCTAGTGGCAACCTGCACTCCTGGGCTCGTGGTCCCTTCCTCCATCTTCAAAACACACCATCCAACCTCCATGTCCATCAGCACACCTTTTCCTGTTCTGTGTCCAGCCTCCCTCCCCCGGCCTCCCTTTTTCAAAGACCCAAGTGATCACGTTGGACCTCCCAAATAGTCCCGGATAACCTCCCCAGCGAAACGCCTGGATCACATCTGCAAAGTCCCTTTGCCTTATAAGGTAACATCCCCACGTTCCAGGAATGGGAATACCTTTAGGCGCCATTATTCAGCCTACCACACCCATTTCTCAGATGGGGAATTTGGGCTCAGAACGGTGAGATCACTTGCCCTTGACCACACAGGCTTTGGAGTCTGAAGCCAGGAGATCTGGGGCCTGACGAAGCTCTCCTGCTGCCAGGTAAGGGTTCTTCCCTGCAGGGGTGTTAGGGCTGGGGCGGGGCTAGGACCTTCCGGAATAGGCTGCTTCAAGGTCTAGCGGAATCCAGGGTTCTGGTCTCCAGGTGATCTCCTTGGCCTGGAGAGGGAACCAGGGCAGCCAAGAGCAGGATCTGGTGCAGGTCTGTGGAATCAACTGCCCCGAACCCATTCTGGCAGGCGCTGGACACTGGGCCTGGCAAAGCAGACCTTCTCAAACTCTTCTTGTCCCAGAGGAACCCTGGGGATGAAGGAAATGGGCTCAGGGGCTGGGAAGCTGACCACCTCTTGCCACCCTCTCCTCTTTCCCCTCCACGTGTTGTTACTTGTAACAGCCACTGCCCTGGGCTCCTAGAACAGCATGTGGCCTGCACAGATAGAGGGCGAGATGTGAGTGGGAATTTACTATGTCTCCCCTCTCCCCCAGGCCTTGATCAACGACTGACAGCATGAAAGCCCTGTCCCAGGACCCTGAGGGGGGGCAGCTCTAGGTATAGCTTATACTCTGGTGTCCCCTCCCAGGCTTGGCTCCTCCCCTTCCCCTCCTGAGCCCCCACTCCTCACTGCCTCTCCCTTCCTTAATGAATCACTTGCATACAAATCCTCACCGCTGAGTCAGTTTCTGGGACCTGCCTTAAGGTGGGCCACCTCTCTGCAATTTAAAACATCCACACACATTGTGTACTCTGCCCCATGACATACCCTCGCCTTTTAATCTAAGAGTATTATCTGTAAACCACCTTCAGGTAGGGTGTTCCAAGACGCAGGTGTGGTTTTAAGTGCCCCTGCATTTCCGATGTGGGGGGTTGGGGGAGAGAGGGTGGTGATGTCTGGTGCTCTGATGCCTCCAACTGCCCTCCCCCCATCTCCACGTTGAGCGATCAAGACCCCAGTCACACAGGCAGGCCACGCAGCACACGGGACCCTAACCTTGTTCAGATCTCTTTATTGAAAAATTAAAGTCATAAGCTCTGTATATAAATACACTGACGTCGCTGGTCACCTGCAAGGCCTCTGGGATAGGCAGGGGGTGCGGTGGGGAGCTGGGGTCTTGGGTCCCCAGGGTGTGGAGAGGGAAATAAATAATAAATACCATGGGGGACAAGGAGCTCGGAGGAATGGGGGGTAAATGGGAAGGGGGTGCTTGATGCTTATTTGTGGCACTAAAGGTCCTGCAAGATGCCCCCTGGCTGGGGGCCATGTCCATGAATTCTCACATGACCTCACTCTCAACCTTCCTAATGCCGCGACCCTTTAATACAGTTCCTCATGTTGTGGTGACCCCCAACCATAAAATTATTTTCGTTGCTACTTCATAACTGTAATTTTGCTGCTGTTATGAATCGTAATGTAAATATCTGATATGCAGGATGTATTTTCAGGGGTCGCGACCCACAGGTTGAGAACCGCTGCTCTAGACAAAGCCAAGGCATCTGGAGATGGGCCAGGTCCTAGGTGGCCAGGGGCACAGTGCCCCCGACTCCACCCAGAGGAGCAGGCCCTGGCCGACCGCAGGTGGACATGCCAAGACACTGTGTCCTTCCCCTTCCTGAAACCCACACTTGTAGTGAGTGCCTACTGTGTACCGGGCGCGGCACCAGATCCTGACCTGACCTGACCTCCTGTTTGCTTCGCCTCCTCTCCCGGTTCTGGTCCAGCGGGCCCGGAAGGAGTGGGGGTGTCTTCCTGCTACCCTGGCCATGCGGCCCTGGCCCCTCAGGGAGCGTCAGTGCCAGGAGGGAAGAGGGACCGGGCCAGGGGCTGGGCAGCGGTGGGAGGCGCTCAGGCCTCGGCCCCTAGAGCATCACATTGAACTCGGTGACCAGAAAGTCGATGTAGTCACACTCCTTGGTCTTGAAGGCCTCGGCGATGATGCGCGCGGCTTCCCGGTGCTCCTTGCCCCGCAGCGTCAGCCCATTCACCTCCAGGATCACGTGGCCCACCTTCAGCTGCCCACAGTTGTGGGCCGAGCCGCCGCGCTGTGGGTGAGACACAGGTCGGAGGCACGCAGGGCACCTGAGGACTAGGCTGGCCTGGCTTTGGCCACCCACAGGGTCAGACCTGACATTGCCAGCCTGGGAGCTACCATCTGGGTGTCCATGGCACTGATTAGGAAACTGAGGCTCAGGGAGAGCAAAGGTCGTATGAGCCTGGTCTGCCCTTCAGTGCTGGGTCACCTGTGGGGGTGGCACAACCCTGGATGCTGAGAGGAAACTCCCAGGGGTCGGGGGAGATAGTCAGCGGGCCCCTGGGGAAGTACCTGAATGGTGACGATCCTGGGCAGCGGCTGGCGGGTGTTGGCGCCACCCTCGATGGCGATGCCCAGGGTGGCCGCACTTTTCTTCACTCGGACCAGGGTGGATGTGGGCTCCAAGAGTCCAGGCTGCGGGTATGAAGGAGACCAGTGACGAAGGCCTTCTCAGTGTATAGGCCTGGGCATGACAGCTTTAGGTCAGCAGGGCTCAGACGCCAGCCTGTGTTGGGAGCCTCCAATATGCCAGGCAGCAAGCTAAGTACTTGGTGTTCTCAGCTCCTAATTGCTACAAAAATCCCTGAGGCTCAGGAAGTTAAGGGATGGCCAAGGCTGCCTGGTGGTGGCACCAGGACTCAATCCAGGTCTGCCCCCCCCCCCGCCCCCCCCTCCCCCAGCCACCTCGCCATGTCAGGACTGAGCTTTAAGGGTCTCAAGACCAGCCTCAGGGCTCGGCTGGTCAGTGTCACAGCAAAGGTAGGACTTGAACTGGGCCTCCAGCTAATACCCTTTCCAGTGCCCACACCCCTCCAGTGAGGGGCTCGCTCCATTCCCTGTGGTCACTTGACAAGCTGAACCCTGGTCAGGGACTTCCTGTTCTTCCTCTCACCCTCTGTTACCCCCTCCTCCTCACTCACCGGTTTGGTTGCCCCCTCTGTGCTCCTCTCGTTCCGAGGTGGGTCCTTGCTACTCCTGCTTTTGGTGGACGCCATCTGTCTGCCTCGGCCAGGGGCGCTGGCCTCCACCTCGCCAGCGTCCACACCACTGTCCTCACTCAGAGTCTGCCCACTGTCCGAGAGCTGAGAGAGTGTGGAGGCTGCTGGGGGGGGGGAGAGGGAAATAGGAGGAGAATGTGATTTATACAGTTGGGATCAGGGAGGGCTTCCTGGAGGAGGTGATGACGCTGCAGACTGGAAGGCTTGGGGGGATTCCCTGGGCAAAGACTGGGTGGTTGGGGATAGCTGGAGGGTACCACTCTTTTACCCACTGAGACCTGCCCTTCCAACTGGGCCTGGCCCCAAGGCTGCCACTTCCAGGATGTCTGCCCTGACTGCCCCTGGTGTAATGATTAGAACAGAGATCAGGGAGCAAACCCAGCCCACAGATGTGGGGTTATTGTTTTTTAAACACATACAATGCTGTCAGTTTTTAATGGTGGATCAACACATTCAAATTAGGAGATTTCACATAAAATTTAAATTTCTAGCTTCTTGAGGAAAAAAAAAAAAAGGAAGTTCTTCCATGCCTGGTCTGCACCCCTGCACGACCCCAACTGGCCAGAGCTGAGTGTGGACACATGCCCCTCTGGTTCCCCGGTCAACCCCAGCTGCTTCACTATGTGCGTGATGGCCTAGTCCCTGAGTCTGAGACCCTGCATCAAGAACACACACTCTTATGTCTGGCAGGTTGGATAGGAATTCCCTCTGACCAGCTGTGCAACGCTGGGCAAGTGACACAGCCTCTCTGAGCCTCCATGTCCTTGTGCTAATCAGAAGCAGTGACGCCTCTCCAATGGGGTTCCCATAAAGACCAGTAGATAGGACGTACAGCGTGAAGCAGTCAAGAGAGCAGACGTGTGCCAGACTGCCTGGCTCCACAGTTACTTTCTGTGCCTCTTCATCCATAAAATAGGGGTAATAACAGTACCAGCCTCACAGGACTGTTGGGGGTAATTAGATGAGTTGCTAAAATAGGAAAAGTCCCTAGAACAGTGTCCAGCGCAAGACGGTGCTGTACAATGGTTAGCCCTTATAATCATGCGTGTCCAGCTCAGTGGCAGGTCTCGAAGCAGCAGTGATCCAAGTATGACAGCTCGGGTTTCTCACCACATCTCTCCCTCAGCTGCCTCCCCTCACCAAGCCACTGCGCGCAGGGACTCTGCACTCTGCATCCTAGTCTGGCCACTGCATGACACACAGCAGACACTCAGTAAGGGTCCCCTGACCCATCCACCACCTTCCAGGCCATAGGGGGAGCCCCCCCACATATCACTTTAACCACAAGATGGCAGCAGCATCCAACAAATGTGCCCAACTCTGCAGGAGGAGGGGAGCCTGCCCAGGGCTCAGGCTTCCTCCCCTCCCTCCACCTCCTTGTCTGGAAACTCCCGGGGCCGCAGCCTGGGGCTGGCTTCCTGGGTTCCTGGTAGGTCCATCCTGCACTCTGACCCTTCAGCCCCAAGTCAGGCGACCTCCAGGGGCCCACCGTCCCCCAGCACCTTCTCCGTGCCAAGTCCTGGGGGACGAAGATTGCAGGAGCCACCCCTGCCCTCAACAAGCTCAGTCTCTGGGGAGGCTGGTAGGTGAATGCAGGAGGGGGAGCCCCACCCGCACAGCAGCCGGCAGGGCTGTCACTGCCACCTCCATTCGAGGATGGGGACGCGGCTCAGAGAGGCACAGTAGCGGGCCCACAGTCACACAGCTGGTACACGGCAGAGCCAGGACTCACACTCGTGTGTCTGACTCCAAAGCTCCTCAGTGTGGGCTCAGGACCCTGTTCCCCAGCCACCCTCACCCTGGGGGGAACACCGGGGCTAGGAGACCCCTCGCTGGGTGAGCACCTGTTAACCTTCACTGTGCAGGTGGGCAGATCAACCCAGAGAGGACGAACCCCCGAGATCACACAGCAGCCCCGCAGCCCAGCCCCCAGTGTCTGCCGGTACTCACTGCGAGCCTGGGGCAGCGCCCTCACTTCGTTCACGTCGGGCTCGCTGTCCGGGCGGTGCACCTCCACCATGACGTAGTGCTGGTTTGTGCCTGTCTGGTCTGGGCGCCCCGAGGGGGAGGGTGGTGGGAGGCAGCCCCCAGCCAGCGTGGTCTCTGCGGGGGGACTTCTCAGGTGCGGGGGTGACTGGACCCGGGGGAAGGGGCCAATGGGGTGCTGGTTGACCAGGGCCAGATGGGCATCCAGCGGCCGCTTGGCGCCAGGGTTGGCAGGGGAGATGGAGGCGTAGATGGGGGAGGAGGGCGAGTCCTGCGCTGAGGGGGCCTCTGGGGCGGGTGCGGTGCCAGCCGGCGGGCTGCGGTTCTGCGGAGCCGAGAAGACTATGCCCGAGTGGGAAGAGGCGGAGGAAGGTGGCTTTTGGTCCTGACTTCCGAGCTTCTTCGGCTGGGCGAGGGGTGGTGGGGGAGGAGGCAGCTTGTAGCCAGGCAGCCCCTCGGCCGTGGACTTGACTTCATCCTGCCAAAAGACCCAGCAGGAGTAGAAGGAGTCAGAGCCCATTGCGGCTGGAAGAGGGGAGATCGGACAGCAGAGTGGGCCCGGCCCGGCTGGAATTCCGTCCCAGCTCTATCAGCTCTTGGCCACACTGCGCTGAATAATGCAACACCGAGTGGAAAACTTCTCCCAGCATCTCGGCAGCTGATAAGCCTGGAGATCCTGGCTGTGTCTCTGGGGACGGCACCGTTACCTTTGGGAATTGAAGCCCTTGGCATCAGCCAGGGCTTGTCACAGGGAACGAGACATAATTAAAGCCGGGATGCGCAGGATGGAAAAACAATAAAGGCATTTCTCTGGCTTTTCTTTTTAGGAGATGGTTTTAGCCACTAGAGACGGGAGGTGTGACAGGACTGGAGGCAGCGAGTGTGGACAGGAGGAAGGCAGCCGGGCTGGGGTGCTGTGTGGCCCCGGGCGCAGCACTGCACCTCTCTGAGTGCGCCCCTGGGCAGTGGGGGAAGCCACCTGCCGGCAGAGCTGTGGGATGTGAGGGGGAGGCGTAGAACGGGTTAGCAAGGTGCCTGCCGCCCAGCAGGTGCTGGGTGAGTGGCAGCTACGGATACTGTCATTACTCTTCCCCCTCCGCCTGTGCCAGTATCCGACACTATAGCTCTACGGCAGCACGGGCCCTGTTCCAAAAGCTTTCCCTAAAGTAGCCAGTTTACCTGTTGCCGCCGACTTACGGGTTAGGTACACTCTTCTTACCCTCATTTTACAGGTGGGGAAACTGAGGCACGGAGCGGCCCAGAAACTTGCCTGGAGTCACTCAGTCAGTGGCAGAGGTGGCCTTTGAACCCAGGCAGCCTGGCTCCAGAGCCCAAGCCATCCAAGAGTTATTTGGGTCAGAATCACAAAGTGATCTAGACTGCTGCTGTGTGCACCTGGGCCAAAGGTCATGTTCAACTTCCATTTCCATCCCAGTCACGTGACCTCTTCAGGGCGCTCTGCCATGCGCTCCATGTTTCAGTGTTTGCTATGCGAACGTTCAGACAAAGTGACACCAACTGGGGAAGCGAACAGCCTGACAGCCCCACCTAAAACGCCTGGAAGGAGCCGTCCTGGTGGCGCTAGAGAGAGGGGAGGGACACACTGTGCACAGGCCTGGGACTGCATCTGAACAGCCCAGTCCTCTGTCCTCTCCCACTGGCTTTCACCAAGAAGCCGGCCCCCAGGGCCCACACAGACGATGGAGGGGAAAACACGAGGAAAGGGCCAGGGAGCCTCTTACCAGGGAAACGTCTGGGAGGGCGTTCATATTGCCCTGGACGGCCTGGCCCGTTTCCTCCAGGTCCAGAGTGTTCTAGAAATGGAGGAGGAGACGATGTGAGCAAACATAAACCAAGGCGGGGAACCAGTTTGCTCTCTAGACTCCAGGTCTATGGCCCCTACGCCACCTGCACGTGGTTTATGTGACTCCTGCCGGTCCCACTCCGCTGGAATTTATTTATGCATTAAAATTAATGTCAGTTTCCTTGCTAGTCATTTTAAAATCAATTTCCTTTGAGACTTGCTATTTCCAGGCCTCCCCGGGACAACCTGGAGATGCTGTGGGGTGGCTCTGACCTTTACTGGGAATTCCTGAAGCTCGGTGCTGCTCAACACCCTCAGCACCTCCAAACCAAGGCTTCGCTCTGCTGCTCCCTCACAACCCCAGGCAGGTGTGCAAGTGGCAAGATGCAAATGAGAGGCGGATGGGGAAAGTCTCTCTCTCCCTCTCTCTCTCTCTCTCTCCCTTTTCCTCCCCACTCATCCCTCCCTCCCTCTTCTAATTGTAATGGTTCCAAGGGGGGGGGGGGCGCGGAGAGGGGAGGATGGTTAAGGTTTCAATGGCTGTTACTTGGCAAAAATGCCCATTTCCTCCTTCCTTCCCTAACTCACCAGAAGAAGCCTCATGCTCTCTCAAGCGACACTGAGCTGCCGAAAGGCCATCTCTAGGCCTTTCCTGGGAGGCCAAGCAGTGCTCCTCTCTAAATTGGGCTCTCCTGAGGGCTCTAGGAGCCGTTTCTCCACCCCCACAGAACCCAGGATGGCAAAGCCTCCATGAACAACTCCTAGCTCAAGTCTCAAGTGCAGAGATCAGTACTGACCCAGTCATCTCAGTGCTCCATACAGACAGGGCCTGGGACACAGAGGAGGTTAGACATGACCCCTGCCTTCAGCTGCTTAAAGACAGTGGGGTTGACACAAACAAGCACAGAGGACACTGTGCACAGAGTGAGGAAGCACAGGCGTATAATGCAGCGGGGAGGGGTTATCAGGGAAGGCTTCCTGGAGGAGTGAGCACGGATGAAAGCTGAGTCTTGTGGGTAAGCTGGGCAAAGGAGGAAAGATGGGTGTTTCAGAGGGTAGGTCATACATAAAGCAGAAAGGTAGAGGATGTTTGAGAATCTTCCAGCGGTTCCACATGAGTCAAGCACGGAGCTACTTGGACCCGAGGGCAGTGGGTTGCCGGGAAGACACAGTCAAGTTTGCCTTCTGCGAAGTTCCCCTTTGCACGATTTCTCTCAAGCCAGACTAGAACAATGCAGGCATGTCGGGCCTCCATACAGCTCTTCCTTCTGCTTGGAACGTTCTTCTATTCACGAAGCACGCTCAACTCGCTCACCTCCTTTAAGACCTTACTGAAGTACCACCTCCCACAGGAAATCACAAGCCCCACCCCCAACCCTGCTTTATTTTTCTCCTTTGCACTGATCACTATTCTTCACCCAGCAGCCAAGATGTAATCTTTGAAACACAAGTCAGATAATGTCCCTCCCAGCTCATAACCCTTCAGGCCTTTCCTTCCTACTTGGAGGAAATTCCAAACTCTGTACTCATCCTGCTACTCCCCCTGCCAACAGGATGGAATGGTTCTGCCTCAGGGCCTTTGCACTCACTGCTCCCTCTGCCCACAGGGCTACTGGCTCTTCCCTTACTTCATTTAGTTCTGACTCAGCGAGGCCTTCCTGGACCAGCCCTGTCTAAAACAGCATCCTGACACCCCCCCCACACCTTCCCCCGCGCCCCCAAACACACACACACATGCCCCACTCTAACCCCTGGCCCTGTTTTTCTATATAAGACGGATCACCACCTGATGTTATACTATTAATGTGCTTATTGTCAGTAGGATAAACACTCCTAAGAGGCAGGATTTGTAACTGCCTGGTCCCTACTCTGTCCTCGGTGTTCAGGATAGTGGCTGCTTGATAAATATTTATTAAGCAAATTAATGAGTCCACAAGTGGACTGAGGAGTAAGTGAATCAGCCAGTCGCTCTGGCTGTCACGGGGAGGCGGCCTACGCAGGCAGAGAATGGAGTGAGGTGGCTACCGCTCACCATGGGGAGCTGCGCAGTGGCCTGGATGAGGGTGAGGGCAATGGGAGCGGATGGAAGGGCAGAGGCTGCTGGGTCATCCTCACGGACCCCATCTTCAGGGCTCCTCCCGAAGCCTTGAGCATTCTGTGTGGGCCAAGGGCACACGATCATGGGAACCCGCCAATGGACAGGATGCTCGGCCCTCCCGGCTCTGAGCCTCTCACTCCCAGGACTCCTCATCTGGTCCCATGATGCCTCTCGTGCAAACTCAGGCTGGAACGACTGCCCCATTTCCCAATAAAGCTGAGGCTCCCCTGACAGGCGCCTGCTCTCTCCAGCCCCGTCCCCTGCACGCCGACTCCCAGGAAGATGCTGCTGACGGCCTCAGTGATGCCAGGACAGTTGGGGGTTCCCCGGGAGGTGGAGTGATGAGGTTGCTCTCTCACCCACTGACTAGCGACACCGGCTCTGGCTTCTCTGAGATCACACCCAGCTCTGCCTTCAGCTGACGGGTGGTGGGCAAGTCACTGAACTGCTCTGTGCCTCAGTTTCCTCATCTGTAAAATTGGGTCACAGCAGTCCCTCCCTCATGGGGTTGATATAGTCACACCTAAAATAATGCTCAGAACAGAGCCTGGCACAATATACAGGGGGAGACGGCTGTTACACCAGACGTCTGAGATCTTGCAAACGAGCCTCAGAGACTGAATAGCTGCAGAACATGCCCTGGCCCCATAGGAACGCCTCGGCGGAAAGGAAGCCGCAGCCCTCGCACACAACCCCCTCCAAACGCCGACATGTAACGCGTCCAGTGCTCCCTGGAAACAGTCCAGCGGGCACCACCGCCAGCCACAGTTAAGGTGAATGGCGAGGTGGGGCTGGGTACATACATGCAGTGACTTCCCGAGGGTTGGCAGTCACAATCCTGACCTCGGCAGGTGACACGAAGAGTGTCAGAAGCCTGGGACACACCTACTGCAAAGACCAGAGGGGCCCCCAGCACCGTCCAATGCAGCACTGTCACCTGCCCCCAGATTCCACCTGCAGCCACGCTGGAGACTCGGGTGACAGTCCTGGTGGGACCGAGACACAGGATGCTCTCCTGTGCTGACACATTCGGAACTTGCAGCAGTTACTTAGTCACTCAACAAGTATTTATGAGGCAGCCCTGACTTATGGAGAAGGCCCCGGAGATAAAAGATGAGTGGGCCCCTGTGTCCCCAACACCAAGCAGAGGGCCACACACACAGTAGCTGCTCTAGAATTCTTGTTCAGGATCCATGGTGGGGCTGGCAGTTGGAAAAGGGCCCAGGAGAGGGGGAAGGACCCAGAGCCTGAGAACAAGCATGTGTGCTGGACATACAGGGGAGGCGTGACTTTCTCTGAGAAGATCAGAGAACTACAAACTGGAGGACCTACTGTGTGCCAGGCACTTCAGTTACTGGGCGCTTCATGTACATGACCTCATTAGATTCTCAATGTGAAACAGGCACTAAGATCTTCCCCAGCTCACTTCTTCTAGACATACGTCCAGAGAGGGCATGGCTTGTCCAAGGCCACACAGCCATTGTACAGATCAGGTTTCTAACCCAGGCCAGGGGGACCCCAAAGCCCATGCAGCCGCTACCTGCCCCAGAATTGGATAGGGCCCTGCTACTGTAGGAACTAGAGGGCCCCAGGAGTGGCTCTCTCTGGACCAAGAGAGAGCACAGCCATTGTTGGCCCCTGGTCTCAGCCATTCTCTGCTATTAATGAGATCCTGGAGCAAGACTGAGGGCAGGGATGGAAGGCGGAAGGGGAGGGAGGAGCAGGACAAATGGCCAGCCCTGGGAGGGAGGCGAGTGGAGCAAACGGCAGACGGGTCGGAGCCCAGCCCTGCCAGACTCCATCTGCCGAATCCAGACGCTCAGGAGCCCCGAGTCCCCAAGCCATGTTCCTTGTGCATCTGAAATAGCTGCAGACAGCAGGCAAGAGCCCGGGGATGCGTCAGCAGAAACGCTCGGGGAAGAGGCTTCGAGAGGAGGATCAAGGTCAGAGCTCACAGGGAGTCGGCATGAGCATCTTGGCCACCCCTCCCCCACCCCCAGCTTCTTGGGGTCCCTTTTCTCCTACACCCGCTAAGGCCAGTGCCCAGCTGAAGGATTAGACCCAGAGGGATCTTTCTCCCATTCCAATCTGAGGTGCCTGAGGCTCAGAGAGGGAAGGCCACCTGCCCAAGGTCACACAGCAAAGATGGGGCAGGAAGCTGAATCTTATTTCAGGTCTGACTGTTATCCAGACTGCTTCCCACAAGGGCCAGGATGCCCTCAGCACCTGCTGCCCCATCTCTTTCGGCCTCCAAATTCCCTTCCTTTCAGAGAAAAAAAAAACACCCAAAAACCTTAGTGTCTGAGTTGGCCCCGTCTGGGCCTGGATATCCCAGGAGTCTGGTTTGAAGGAACTTGGGGACACGATGAAATGAAGTGATAAGGGCACTCCCCTGTGCCAGCCTCTGCCAGGTCGACTCCGGATCCTGGAAATGGAGGTGTGCATGGCCCAGGTGCCACCTCAGCAAAATGAGGCCCTTCCCTCGCCCCCCTTCCCTCCGGCCCAGTTCCCTGGTTTCTAGGCCTCCGTCCCCCATTACGATGGGGGGCTCTTATATAAAGATGCTATTTTCAGCCCTTTGTTCTTCACGCTGCTTTACTCTGATGCCAGGACCACAGGCTCCCCCCACGTCTGCCCCAAATGCACAGGGAGAGGCCTGAGGCGGGTGGAAAAGCTGAGCACTAAGTCACAAAGGCTTCTCAAGGTCACAGGGGGACCAGAGAGGGAGGAGAATAAGAGAAAAAGGAGCCCGGCGGGTGTGGCTCAGTGGTTATGCGTCGACCAACCCACGATGCCCCAGGTTGGTCAGGGCCCCCATCCCAGGCTCTCACACCACCTTCCACCACTTATCAGAGTGTGAATTCTGTAGATGATTTGAGGCTGCCTCCCCCGTGGACTTGCTGAGCTTCAGGAGGGCGGGCTCGGAGTCTTGCTCACAGCTACAGTGCCCAGCTCAGTCTGGCATGCAGGAGGCGCTCACGGAAGCCTGCTGAGTGAGTGAGTGAGTGAATAGATGGGTTTCTTCTGCTCTCCCCGGGGTCTGAGACAGGCCTGAGCTTCTCCACCCTCCTTTAGCCTGGCTGAGGAGGGGCATGGAGGCCATGAGCAAGGAGGCTGATGCAGCAAAAGGCTGACAACCACCCCTGCACCCACTTCTCACCCTCCTGCAGGGGGGGAAGGGCAGTAAGGCCTTTATAGGCAGTGGCTCACCCTTAGGCAGGCCCAGAGAGCCCCTTCCAGGCAGAGAGGCTGGGCATGCAAAACCTCTCAAATCCAGGTGAAAAGGGGCTGTGGTTAAGGCTGGGGCAAGTCCCAGCTGCGCCCCACACTCCCAATGGCATCTGCTCCATGTGTACCAGGCTGGCCGTGACCTCTATAACCCTTTTCCTCTGCAGTGCCCTTTGCCAGCCTTTAGAGTAGCCGTAAAATCAACTTCCATGAACTCCACGCCTGCAAGTCCACGCCTGATCTCACTGAATCCTCAGGACACCCACAGAGGGCTGGGCTTTCAGCCGAGTACACAGATGTGGACACTGAGGCTCCCAAAGCTGACGCCACCTGCCCAAGGTGACGCGGCTACTAGTCAGGCGAGTCACGTGTGGGCCTGCAGATCCCATGCACTGAAGGCCTCCGCCCGGCCTGCTTGCACGAGATGAGGAATTCGGAACTGCCGGGCAGGCCGCCGTGCTTGCGCTCGGCTCTGCGGGCTGCCTCCTTCATGGGAGAGGAATGATATTGTTCGGAGGCAACAGAAATTCCCAGGGCTGCGTCTCTATTAGGCACATGGGAAATAAACACAATCTGTCGCTGGGGGAGGGCTGCATCTGATTTCCATTGATTGACTGCGTGTGGTTGAGGGAAAAGGCTGCAGAAGGAGCCATGTCTGACCTGGGATTGATCAGCGGGCAGCATGAGCCAGGGGATTCGGGCAGAATGGAAACTGGCTCCATTTGGAGCAACCGTCTGGGGCATCTGGGTCACCGGTAGCCAGTCGCCTGCCACCCTGCCTGTCCGAGTGCCAGGCAAAGGACATTTTCCTATGACAAGGGAGGAGTGTTTAGGAGGCCAGAATGTTAGAAGAGAATCCTGAGTGGCCGGGAGTGCGGTTTCATTTCAGCTTCTGCTCCACATTTCCTGGGCTCCCACTCTGTGCCAGGCCCTGGGCTGGCCCTGGGGACACAGACAGGAGAAAGATGTGGTCTCTGCCTGCAACCCACCACCTCTCCCTGCTTACCTGGGGAGACAAACTCCGGAAGAGGCTGAAGCACCTGACAGGCATATTAATGGAGGTATTAGTGTGAGCTCCATGAGGTCAGAGATTTGGGCCATAAGAAAGAAATGTTTTAGGCAATTATTCATCCAAATTGGAGGGTTGTTTGTTACTCAGCATCGCTTCAGCCAAAGCTCACGAATACATGGCATTGTTGCAGACCAGGGCCTGGCACTTACTCAGTGGTGAGTGTACATTATTTTTCAGGCTCAGTCTCTGGAGTAAAGCTGCAGCCCTCGTCCAAATGCACAGAGACGTGGTGGGAATACAGGGTTGCCATTCCTTTCTGTGCCTCCCCTCGAGTGTTTCCCAGCATCTCCCAACAGAGAGAGGAATCTGAGATAGAGGAGCCTGGGGTGGGGGTGTCTGCCTCGGTCAAATAGATGGGAAGACTGAGGCCGACAGTGGGTAAAGGGCACACTGCATGGTAGGGACACAGCAGAGGGGCTGTGGGGCTCCTGACACCCAGGATGGGGCTGGTGCTCTGTACTCCTGCAGGAGGACTTCCAGGAGGAGGCATTTCTGTCCTGTGGCTCCACACACAGGCAGCAGGAGGTGCCCAGTCCGAGCCCTGCCGTGTGTGGAAGGAGGGGGTTCCCAGGAGACACCAAGGCCAGGACTAGCCAGGCAGCAGAAAGAGCTGGTGCCTGCAGAGCTCGTCATCACACCCCTTAGCAGCTCAGGCTGCACAACCTCCCAGGCCTTTCCCGGGACTGAACCTGTTCTTGGTTCAAACCCACCCTCGTCTATTCTCAGCGATCAGAGGCATCTGTTCAAGCTAAGCCAGACCATGTCAGCCTGGCTCTAACCTGCCAGTGGCTCCCATCTCAGAGTCAAAGTCAACATCCAGTCCTCAGCACCGACCTGCCAGGGCCCTTCCCTGCACGTACCCTGCTCCAGCCGCACAGCCCCCTAGACTTTGCTCGGACACTCCAGGCCCGCTCCTGCCTCAGGGAGCACCCGCTGTTCCCTCTGTTTGAAGTGCTCTTCCCAGTAGTGGGCGATGGGCATGGATATCTCCCCAACCCCTTCCCCATCGGTACTCAGGTGTCACTTTCTGATTGATCACCCAACCCCATCCCAAATCCCCTTCCTGCTTTATCTCTCCCTTTAGCACGTTTACCACTTATCCTGTGCATTTCAGTGGTTTATCTCGCTAACACCCCAGCATGACCCCAAATTCCATTGTGGAAAGGATTTCTTTGCTGTTCGTACTGTATTCCAGCACCTAGAACTGTACACAGCACATAGTGAGCACCCAGTCAGCACTGTTCACAGAACAGAGGAAGAGAAGGAGGGAGGGAGGAGAGAGAGACAGACTGACAGACAGACAGATGGATAATGTTAACAAGCAGCTGGTGGGCTCCTCCAGGGAGGCATCACAGCCAGGCCACAGGGGTTAACAGCAGCAGCTCAGAGGCCAGCAGGCCCGGGGTGCATCCTGACTCTACCACTCACTGGCTGAGCAACGCTGAGCAGCATGGAGCAAGTTGCTTCTCCTCTGTGAGCTTCTCTGTAAAATGGAGATCGTAGCAGTGTCTACTAGTTACTGGGAGGGTCAAAGAAGATATGATTGGAAAGCATGATGCCAGTGCCATGGCGAACTCCCGACAAATGCCAGCTGCTATTATTAAGAAAGGCCCCAAGTATGGGCCAGGCTCTGTGCTAAGCATCAGGGAAACAGTCGCCACCTACAAGCAGCCCAAGATCAAGGTGGGTAACAGGCCCGGCTGGTACAGATTATTAGAATATAATGAGACAAGAGCCATGACAAAGGGAAGTCCAGGGTGCTGGAGGAGCCAGAGGCTAAAAGTCTGGAGAGAATCAGGGAAGTCTACTCGGAAGAGGTGGCAGGTGAAGTAAGGGACAAAGAACACACAGGAGGCAGCCAGACCATGTAAAGTGGGAAGAACATCCAGGCCGACAGAGTGTCTGACATATGCAAGTCCAAGAGGCCTCTCCACAGCTGCACAGCACAGAAATGACATCCTCAACCTGAGCTCAGAGAGGTGACACCACTTCCCGAGGTCACACAGCAAGGAATGGCAGAGCCTGAGGAAACCTGGGGAGAGAGAGTGAGCACCACGAAGAACCCCAGAGCCCTCCGCGGCTGAGTGCAGACATAAGGGGGTGGCAGGCGGGAAGGGCCACAGCCCCTCTACCTCTGCCCCAACTAAGGGACTCCCAAAGCCCCACCCAGCCAAATGGACGGTACCTCCATCAGGTCTATAAGCCACAGCAGCCGCTCCTGGGGAGAAAGGATGGGCAAAAGGCAAAAAGAAAAATACATCAAATAAATATTAGGGATGGGGTGGGCACAGAAAAACCCCCAAACCCGTGCAGGCATGCACACACACACACAGGAAAAATAAACACAGTTCTCTTTTTTCACTTCGAAGGCTTTGGTCAGAGGTAATGGAAGGATGGGGAAGAAAAGGCCCTGTTGCTACGTTCATTCTAACTGCCTGTGTGAAGGAAACCTCACTGCTCTGCAGAAATGACACTCGTCCTCCAGAAGGACCTTCAGGAGATGGTCATTCACCTTGGGGCAATCCTGGGACTCTCCAGCAGGTGGCGCTGCGGTCCTTATTCCCATTTGACAGATGGGAAAAAAACAGGCTCCAGAAGAGATGTGACTTGTTCAAGGTCACACCTGCTAATGAGAGGGAGAGCCTGAAGGAGGACCCTGTTCAGAAGACTTGATCAGGGGAAACCTGGATCTCCAAGGCCGAAGCCTGTGCAGCAGGAAAGCTCAGAGTCTGAGAAAAGGAGCCTGGCTGTGCATGTGGAGGGCCCTGGGTGGGACGCAGATTAGAGAGGGTGTGGCAGATGCCCAGCCCAGTGCTTTCCAGAAGCCTCCCTGTGTCTGCAAGGCCCTGGGTGCAAATCCTCAGGGAGGGGGGTCTTCCCAGCCAGGTTGGAAAAGGACGGAAAGAACCGAGGCTTCACCTGCCCTGGGCTGTGGGCAGCATCTCTGGGTGCTGGCACTAGCAGGGAGGTGCTCATCATTGCATCCTCCAACAGCTGGGGAAAGCAGCTCCAATGCAAGGGGAGAAACTGAGGCACTGAGGGGTGAAGTGACCTTTCCACACTGCCTCTCCTGCCTGGGCAATCTTCCTTTAGAATCCACCTCTGAACCTGGCGGTGCGGCTCCGTGGTTCAGCATCGACCCTTGAAACCAAGAGGTCCCCAGCTCCATTCTGGTCAGGGCACGTGCCCAGGTTGCAGGCTTGATCCCCAGGAGGGGGCGTGCAGAAGGCAGCCAATCGATGTCCCTCTCATCTATGTTTCTATCTCTCTATCCCTCTCCCTTCCTCTCTCTAAGCTCTAATTAAAAAAGAAAAAAAATAATAAAGAAGAATGCATCTCTGAGAGCTCACTCTGGCCTTGGTTAGTTCTGATCTGACATGCATGTGCTACCTGGTGGGACACAGACTTCCATAGCTACTCACATCTGAAGCGTGGGGACCCCTTCCATCCGTTCCCCCAAAGCTTCCTGCTCCAAGTCATCCCATGGCCTTTCTGAACTCTGCCTTCCCCAGGGTGCCCCAATCTGCAGGGTCTCTCTGGCAGGGCAGGGTGAACTGCCACACCTGTGGCTTAGACTGGCCACGGGCAGCACTTTTCTGGGCTGGGACCCCTGCCCAAAGCCCTTCCCGGGCATAATAGTCACCCTGGCTCCTCCGAGTCCCGCAGCCTAATCTTCCCTCAGGGCCTCGGGCTACTGTGGCCAGCGCCAGCAACAACGTCAGACCATTTTACACATGGGAAACTGAGGCCCAGAGAAACCACGGCTAAACCTAGATCTTCTGCCTCCCAGGCTAGAACACACCCCATCCCAGCACCCCAGAATTGGAGCCTGCCATCCCCCCGACCTCGGGTTTTACAGCAGTGACTCGGTACCCTGCAGCCTCATGGGGCCATCATCAGGGCACATCAGAGAGTGTACGCAGGTGGGGACAGCTCCTCCCTGCCCCGGAGTGACCTGCTCATCCCAAAGCATGATATCGTCTCCTCCAAAGCCACATCCAGAGCCTACAGGAATGCACAGCAGCTACCGGGGTCACCCCAGGAAGGGATTAGGACCCCTGGGGATAAAGGTGACTCAGTGGTAGGGGTAGGAGGCAGAAGAGTAGAAGTTCACCCAGAGCTTTAAAAAAAAAAAAAAAAAAGCCAGGCTGAGCTGGGAGCTGGGATCTGCAAGGGGAAGGTATGCCCACTGCAGCTGCTTCCCGGTGGCTGCAGGCCCCTCTGTGCCCACTAACCACCTGCGTCTGCAGCACTGCACCCTCAGAGCTCCAGCTCCTACAGCAGGACAATGTCCCAAGTCTAATTAAGACTCTACTGCGAGAGTTGCCATTTCGCCATCTGGGAACAATATGCTGAGGCAACTCAACCATCCCTCCCTTTTCACGGAGAGTGGTGAGGAGTGATCCAGGCAGGAAGGGAGAATATGGAGCCCAGTCAGATCTCCCGACCTCCCTCCCGGCTCTCCCGCTCACCCGACAGGGACAGCAATGACAGGACTGTCGCTGTAGGGACGGCAATCCATTTCCTCTGCCCCTTCCTTGCTAGACCTCCTGGGATTAATTTGCCTCCGAGCATCCTGAGGGCAGAACCACGCCCCGAGATGGACCACATGCTCTTGGGGGGAGAGGAGGGTTGGAGAGTGTAGGAGAAAACCAGGCTGGGTGTGGGCTTCATGACAAGAGGGCGTGTCTTGGGGAAAACCCAAATCGCCACGCCTCTTCTGCTGTTGAGCGCCCCCCTCAGTTTGTCATGGAGCCTCCCTCGGATTATCATTATTTTCCCCACCTGTCTCATTAGCTTTGATCTTTTCTTTCTCCCCCAGCCCAACCCCCCTAGACTGTGAGCCCCATGAGCCAGGGCCATATCTCTTCTCTCCTAGAGCCCGTGCTTGGCACGCAGCAGGCCCTCCACTATTATGAGGTTTTTACAGGTGCAGAAACTGAGGCTCAGAAAGGCAGGCAGAGAACTGGCAAGTGGTGGTGCTAGGATTTGAACCCGATGGTCTCACTCCAAAGCCAGGACAGTCGCCCCTCAGTATCCGTGTGGGACTGGTTTCAGGACCCACTTGGATACCAAATCCTTGGATGCTCAAGTCCCTTCTGTGAAAGGGTACAGCACTGCATACAGGCTTACGACAGAGTGCGCCCGGCATCCTTCATTCACATGTATCCAGCCTAGCGCCTGATGCACGGCAGGTTCAAGTTTTGCATTTGGGGTCTTTTTAGGGTTTCTTTTTCCAAATTATTTCCAATCCATGGCCGGCTGAATCCACAGATGGGAAACCCATGGATACGGAGGGCTGACTGTCTCTTTACTTCCCCTCTGGCCACTGTGCAGGGACGGGGCAGGGATGCTCACCCTGGCCGAGCTGACGGTGGTGGAGGTGCCGTGGCTGCCTGTGGACGAGCCTGTGTCACTGTAGGAGACCATGGAGTAGGTGTCACCGGGCCCAGGGCCGGGGGGCTGCCGCGCCTTCATCGACTCGATCTCCCTCCTCAGCACCAGGTGATCAAAGCGGTCCAGGTCTTGGGGGGAAATGGTGCCTCTCACCTCAGAGAGGAGGGAGAACTGGAGGCAGGGACAAGTGGGGCACTCAGCAGGGAGCCCCACCAGCAGGTGGGATGGCTCCTGCTACCCCCAGTGACCTGCATGCCACCTTAACTACTGGCCTCCCCTCCTCAACCCTCAGTGGCTCCCCACTGCCCTGAGGAGAAAGTCCAACACCTTGGCCCGGATGCTGGGCCAGCACCCTCTGGCTCCTCCTCCCTGGCACCTTAGCAGGCATGACTGCAGCAACCGGAACACACCGGAAGCTCCTCCCCCCACTTCTCTCTGAACTGCACTGCCTCTGTGAGGTCTTCCCAAATGCAACCACGCCCAGTGGGTTCCTCACTTCTTCCTTCGTGCGGCCTCGGAACCTCAGACTTTCACCAGAGCGGGTTCTCAAAGCCGGCAGCACGGCAGGCACCGGGCTTGTAAGAACTGCCGGTGGCCTACGCCCACCCACAGATGTGCATGCAGAGTGAACAGGCCAGGGTGGGGCCCAAGCATTGCTTTTTTTAAAAATCCTCACCCAAGGATATTTTTTCCATTGCTTTTTCAGAGAGAGAGAGAGAGTAGAAGGAGGGAGAGAGGGAGAGAGGGAGAGAGAGAGAGAGAGAGAGAGAGAGAGAGAGAGAGAGAGACAACGATGCGAGAGAGACAACACATTGATTGGTTGCCTCTGGCACGTGCCCAGAACAGGGGGAGGGGGACAAACAGGGAGCGAACCCACAACCCAGGTACATGCCCTTGAATGGAAATCAAACCTGTGACCCTTCAGTGTGTGGGCCGACGCTCTAACCACTGGACACCACTGGCCAGGGCCCAAGCATTGCTTTTTGAAAGCAATCCAGATGATTCCAAATGTGCATGAAAAGCCACTGTGTTAGTTAGGGCCTCGATCACAGGAGACTTTAAATGACTGTCTCCCCAGGAGTCTGTGGGCTCCCCCGGGCAGGGGACCATCGTGGTCACCAGTCTCTGCCCAGGGTTCCGTTAGGCCTGACTCCTTGTGGGTTCTTAGTAAAGGAGGGGGGACCTCGGGAGGCAGGGAGGGATGCAGAGCCCTGGAGAGCTGCAGCCAGGCCCCAGCAGCCCCCCACCAGCCTCTCCCTTGCCCAAGGAGGGGTGCCGGTCACCTTGGCGTGGGTGTTGAGCAGCTCGAACAGGGCCATGACCAGGGCCTCCACGGAGACGCTGCCGCCGCGGTACTCCTCCAGGTAGTAGGCCATGGTGGCGCGCTCCTGCTCGTTCAGCAGGTGCCGCGCCTGCTCCTCCAGCAGCACGCGCGTCTGGTTGCCCAGGCTGCTCAGGGTCACCTGGGAGCCGGCCGGCCCCTTGTAAAATCCCAGCTGAAAGACAGAAGATGGAGCTGCCCTGGAGCCAGTGGCCAGGCCCGGCCAGCGACCACACTGCAGGGGGATGAGGTCGGTCCCTCCATGGTCTTGTCCCCTACTTCCCCCCTCCTTCTCCCCTCCCGACCCCGACAAACCTGCAGGACACGCTACCGATACGTGCTGAGGGCATGTGGCCTCTGCAGTTGCAGTTTTATGTCTTACATGGCACTTGTACACGTATCATCAGGTCCTCGTGACCATTCAGAGGGAAGCAATGTTATTAGGGTTCCCGTTTAGTCCTCTAGGTCTCAATCTCTCCCTTATTAAATTGGGGGTAATAGTAACTTTATTTCCAAACTACACTTAGATGGGCACGCACACACACTCCAGCCCCAACCGCCACTGTCTCTACCATCATCAGCGTCTAGGATGCCACCGGCCTGTCCTCTGCCTCTCCCTGTCACCACACACAGCAGCTGAAATGATCTTGTGAAAACACGATCTCCTCATTTTGCTCCCTGCGTAAGCCCTCCAACGGCATCCCATCACTTCAGGTGAGAAGCCAAACCCTGTGTGAGCTGGCCACCCACCTGGGGTCATCCTGTCCCCGCTCCCCCTTGCTCACTGCACTCCCAGGCTCTCCCTTCTTCCAACAGGCACGACCTTTGCCTGCCGGGGGCTCTGGCACAGGCTGCGGCCTCTGACTAGGTCAGCCCCTGCGGCTCCTGCACCAGACTTTCCCTCACTCCTTTCTCTCTGACCTTCCGTTCACAGCCTAAATATCGCCTGTTCCTACTTCAGACAGCCTTTCCCTGTCTCAATTAGGTGCCCATCTGTCATTCTCTCGTAACACCCAGCACCTTGTCGTGATGGCAGTGAGCATCTCCTGTGATTGGACCTGGCGTAGTTCGTTTTGTTCTTACGTGCGTCTCTTTCACTGGGGGTGACCTCCTTGAGGGCAGGGATCTGATCTGTTCTGTTCGTGGCTGTTAACCCCGGTGTCTGGGATGGTGTCCCGGGGGTGCCCAGAGCCGGGAGGCACTCACAGGCATGTGTGGGATGGAAGATGGACAGACAGACTGCCCAAATGAATGAGCTCATGTGTGTGAGTCACTGGCACACATGCCAGGTCCAGAGCTCCCCCCACGGAGCTCAGAAGAAGCCAAGGACAAGGACGCCTGGGGACGGAGGGCACCCTACCTTGTCTGCTCCTTCTGTGGTGGGATCCCCAGGAAACCTATGGAGGAAGACAAGCATGGTCAGCCGCACGTCTGAGCAGTTCAGACGGGCACGGGCAAGGAAAGGGTTGGTCTGCAGCGGGGTGAGCAAAGCTTTGAGAGAACTGCGGCCTCCACTCGCTGGACCTATCAATGAACATGAACCCCTGGGCAGATGGGCAGTTCCCAGCCTCCCAGTCAAGCCACACGGACAGCAATTCTAAATCCAGGCACCTACAGTCCAGGCAGGACAGGAGAGAATAAGGTTACAACTGATCCGTGGCCTCGGGGTCAGGCCAGTCCTAGGAAGGGGGGCGGGGCGAACGGAGCCTTAGAGATGAGACTCGGCTGCAGCTGGGTTTTTAAGCAGCAGCCGGAAATCTGGTTTTTAAAAAAATGGGAAACCTGGGACCTTTTTAAATGTTTGTAACTAATTTAAAAAATTATAATACTGTGTAGACGAAAAGGGAGAGAGGGAGAGAGAGAGAGAAGGAAGAGAGAGAGAGATGCGCTGGGTGTGCTTGGCCTGGGAGGGGCACCACCCCGTCTGAGACTCGGGATGGAAATCCAAAGGTGACACGTTCGGACAGTAGTAACTACTCAGCCATCCAGCAATGACATCTCATCTGAGACCCTCCCACCCGGGGAACTCCTGAGATTCTCACAGACCCGGGAGAGGGGCAGGGTTTAAGACTCACTTTTCAGACAAACAACTAAGGGCCCAAAAATAAGGTAAGTGACTCGCCAGAGGCCAACGAAGAACAAGAGAGCTGCGTGGTGCAGTTCAGCTTTCCCTGGGAAACGGGCCAGGAGAGGAGAAGGGACGCGCCCAGGGTCATGCACGGAAATGAAAGGGACCTGGGCTGAGAACTGGTGCGATCTTTACAGATCAGGACGTGGTGCAGGGGCGGGAGGAGGACGCAACTGGCTCTCAGAGCGGGCCCCGGGGCCCTGAGGCTCCGCGTAAGCAGTGGGGCCTGACCCTGCTGAGTTCGTGGCGGGGTCCCCGATCCGGGAACTGGCGATCCACTTGGTCTCGTCCACGGTGGTGCGGGCGTGGGGCAGCCTCCCCACGTCCTTCACCGTCAGGATGAGGTGCTGGGATGACTTGAGCAGCCTGACCGCCTCGTCGTGCAGGATGTTGAGAAAGCTCCGCCCGTTCACCTCCAGGATCTGGTCCCCGACCTGCCAAGACCACAGCACAACACAACACAGTCACCTGGGCTGTTTGCAGGACACAGACTCGTGCCTGGGGCGTCGGAGCCCTGGTCCTGTCCCAGTTCTCCTGCCGGCCAGCCTGCCGAGGAGGAGGTCACCGGGCTCAGAGAGCTTGTGCAGGTGCCTGAGGGAGACTCAGCAAGTCCATGGCAGACAACCTTCCAATCCTGATCCTGAGCCCATGCTCCTCTCACCTCTTGACCTAGCAAGGGTTTGAGGGGTGAGTCTACCAACAGGTTCCCAAGGACCCCCTTATCCAGAAAACAACAGCCCCCTCAGGGGCCGGGGTGGAGTGGGCTGGGATTGGGGCAGGATGAAGCGAGAGGCGTGAAGGCACACTTCCGTCACTGCCCTCTGTGCGGCCCCGCTGCGGAGAGCTTTACCCCCAGCACGCATTCTCACATCACCTCCAGATGTACACAACATTCTCATTTACTCCAGAAAACAGGCAGTACATGGGGAAGCCAGCCTCTCGTTAAAGCAATAACATACTCTGGGATTCTTATAACACGCGGGGCATTTTATTTCGTAATGAAAAAACACGCGTTTTTAATGAAAGGATTAAAAAAACAACAACGCCTAACCTTCCAATAAAAAGAAATATGTGACAAAAACAGCCGAGGTTGGTGGGAAGGTGGTGTGGTGTGAGATGGGCACATGTGAAGACTTGTGTCTTGTTTGAACTCGGGGTGGGGGGGGGGCTGGTGCTCCCCTTCCTGTGATGGTGGGGGGTCTGCAGCTCAAGGCCAGGAAAGGGCTGTGCAGCGTCACCCCCACCAAGGCCGTGAAGGGCAGCCTCGGAAGCCAGTTATTCCAGTTATTCGTGGCTGCTCTGCCTTCTCCCCAGGTCCCCTGCCTGCTGATGGCTCATGATCAACCCCCAGGTGGATTTCCCAGCATTTTTCAAAGCAGGATTTAGCGAAGGCGAGCCAAATGGGAATTTGGAAGAAGAAAGGGAGGGAAACAGATGTGATGTCAAGGCTGAGAAACGACACCGTGGTCCCCAAGACCCTTTCTTTTAACATCCCTGCTGCATCGCGGAGTTCCCAATACAGGGTGGTTACAAAGGCAGACTTCCCCCGTCTCCCCTGTGCCAGCAATGCTGTGTGCGGAGGGGGCCCATGCGCCCCTGCCTCAGCGGCCCATCCTACAACGCTCACTACTGCACACCCAGTCAGCGCCAGGCTCGCTGGGAGGCCGTGTGCGCCAGACCGACCGCTCCTGCTGCCTAGTCGAGCGTGGGTTCGGTCTTGTGCTATCAGTGGGCTTTCCCGTCAGCCTCTCCACACTGTATCCCCAGGGCCCAGAACACAGTGGGAAGAAAAATTCATCAAATGAATGAAAAGCCAGACACCCATCCCCCTCCACGCCTAGCTCTGGGACCATTTCTGCTGCAGCCCAGGGGGGACCAGCACATCACACCAGCCTGGAGTCCCAAATTTCAAACCGCAGTTGCCCAGATGCTGACTGTGTCCCAGGCACCTTCTCTGTCCCTTTACATATTCTTTTTCTTATTTAGTATCTTCAGCATCCTGAAGAGCAGGTATTGCTCTCCATCTCACCAGAGAGAACACAGAGGCTCAGAGAGGTTAAGTAAATGGGGTGGTTACAGAACTCGCGGGAGGACAGTGAGGGTGCAGCCCCCGCAGGCCGGCCCCAGGGCCCCAATGCTGCCAGGAGCTCTGCCTGGGGACACACGGCATCTCTGCAAATCCAGCAGGTCCAAAGCCACTGCCGGCACGCCCTGGCCTTCCCTCAGCATCCAGCTCTGACAACCCAGCCTTCATTCCCCTGAGCAGATCCTTCAGGAAGTCGCACCAACCTTCACCTTCCTCCACCCCTCCAGCCCCCAACCTGGGTCCCTCTCTCCACGCACCGGGGCTCCTGAGCCAGCACCCCACCTCCGGGCATTTACACCCAAACTGGCCTCAGACCTCGCACCAAGTTAATAATTTTCCCTCCACTTTTTACTTTCATGACATCCCTCCTTTCTTAAAAACTTCCAATGACCCCCCCGCCCCACCCCACAATCCAGGGGGCAGCAAAGCATCATGGTTAAAGGGTTTCAAAGACCATCAGAACGGGGTTCAAACGCTGACTCTGCTCCTTCCATGCCGTGTGAGCTCAAGCAAATCCCCCAATAGCTTTTGTGGCTCAGTTTTCTTGGGTGTAAAAAGGGGTGCTAGCCCAGGACTGTCCTCCAATTTCCTAGTCATCAGCACCTGTTCCCCCTGCCACCAACAATATCACAGTTCTCTCCCTCTCTGCCTCCCTGAGCTCCCTAGCTGAGAACCCCGGGCCCCTGAGAATGTGGGCAGCCCCAGGTGGACGCCTTGGAAAGGGCTTGGCGCACGGCAAGTGCTCAGTAAGTGCTTTTGCATGAAGGAGTGGGTTTTGCCACTTCCCACCTCGCTGGGGAGCCCCTCCAGCCTCTCCCCCCAGGGGCTTTCTCAATGCCAAGAAGCAGTGCTGTGGTGACATGACTGTGAGTGAAGGGGAAACGGCGCCCTGCTGGGCCCGCTTGCACTCAGGACATGGCAGTGGGGCCTCGCTTCCCTCCTTCCCTCCTGAGTAGCGGAGGCCCCACCGCTCCCGTGTCCAGCTGCTCCCCCAGCCGAAGCCCAGGCCACACTCTCCATCAGCTGAAGTGCTGTTTTCCTAAGGATCCCTCTCAACAGCTTTGGCTTTTGTTACTAAGCGAAGGGAATCCATTTTAATCTTCCCCACACACGTGACTTCATCCCAGTTTAATTTTAAAAAATAGCCTCCGAGATGGGGTTTAGTGTATGCAAGCCTCTCCCTGCAGGGCTGGGCCGGGAAGGGGGCTCGGAACAAAGGAAAGGGCGACTCCATCCCAGAGCATCCACCTGGCCCTCCACAGCGGCGAGGCTGGTGGGGGGAGGGGAGTGTCCCGACACTGCATGGCACCTACGTCTGCTACAAAAATGTACTCGCGGTTTATCTGGAATCAGATGTAAACGGGCGTCCTATATCTTTATTAGCTAGACCTGGCGAACCGTGTCAGTCACCACGGGGCCAATGGTTTCCGGGGTGGGGGCTGCGTCTGCGCTATGGTTACCAAACTTCACTACTTGTCCCTGAGCCCGGCTCCTGTCCTGTGTGCGGTCCCTGCATGCCCAGCACACCACTTACTTCTGCCTCCTCCTCAGCATGAATATCTGAGAAGTCACAGGTTTTGCTGTGCTAGTCACATTCCCCCTCAGGCCTGTTTAATAAACACAGATTTGAGTCCTGAACAGCCGACCTCATTCCAGAAGGGCAGAGCCTAGCCCCAAAGATGGAGCCTAGCCCAAGAGCCTAGCCTCACCTAGCCCTGGGAGCAGACCCTGGTCCGAACACCAGAGAGAGAGAGAGGGAGAGGGGGAGGGAGAGGGAGAGGGAGAGAGGGAGGGAGGGAGAGAGAGAGAGAGAGAGAGAGAGAGAGAGAGAGATATTTGTGAGAGGCAGCTCACGCGTGACCCACCTGGGGAACAGGTGTGAAATAGGAATCATACTCGGGAAACCCCAACTGAATGGGGGTATGTGAGCCCGTCTTCCTTGTCTCTCTCCAATCCTCTCTCATCTTCCTTCTTCCTCCAGGGCCTGTTTTAAACCTGAAGTTCTGGACGGGGCTGGCCTTGGGGTCCCCACACAGCCCTCGACAGCATCTGGGTTGGTCTGAGGCTCCCATTTCTCTGTGTCCAGTTCCCTCTCAAATTCTCTCCTTGTTGGGGAGCTTCCCGAGGTCCGGGGACCTTGTCAGCACAGCTGTCTGCCTGCTTGCTCACTGTCATTTGGAGTCCACAAACCAGTTTCAAATAAACCCAGTGTCCCCTGCTGCTCACAGCAGGCCCGTGGGGCCAGCGGGCTACGAAGCCCCATGCCTAGGGTGCAATGGAAACATGCCCCTAGGTCTGAAACCAGGCCACCAAACAGAGGAGCCATGTGCCCTGCACAGCTCTCAAGTACCGTCCGAGACTCAGTGTTCCCATCTGTAAAGTGGGCATGACACTACCCACACTTTTTGTGAGAACCAAAGGGGACCACTCGGTACAGAGCCTGACACCACAAGAGAGGCTTTCAGTAGCTTGTCCTTTGCTTCCCTTCCCAATGGAGGCCACAGGTTGGGATGCCAACTGATTTGTTCAAGGTCACTGGTCACGCAGGAAGTGAACAAGGAGCCAGCACCTGAGCCCAGCTTTCCACATTCTTCCTACCACCCTGTGCCGCCCTCATCCCAGCATGTGCCTGGCACACGGGAGGCATTTAGTAACTGGTGAAGGGACAGGAGGGATCGCCCTTCCTCCTCTCCACTCACTTCCACTCGCTTCCCCTTTTCCTTTGGTTTGTGAACTTGGATTTGGCAAGTTAATGGTCTTGATCTGACTTCCCTGCCCCCCACCCCCTGCACCTAAAAAAAACCCTAAGAGCTCTATGCGTTGATTCATTGAAATGTTACTTTTTCTTACCGATCGAAGCCAGCTTTGAGTTAGATGACATGGGTCAATAAGGCAAAAAGTAAAGAGGCTGCGACCACCAGCCCTGCAGATGGGGAGACCGGGGCCCAGAAAGCACGGGGACGGGTCTGGGGCCAAAGCCCAGACCCTCAGAATAATTAGCCAAGAAAAATTCACATTGCCCAGAACTCATCAAGACATGACCCCCCGGAGGAAGGAGAGACAGGTGCAAAGAGTGATGGAGTGTCCAATATTGCTCAGCCTGCCATCGGGCGCCGATGGGGAGGACATGGAAGGATAAACGAATAAAGGTGGCTTGATTTTATTTGTCACCACTGCCTCCTATTTATCACCAGCGATGGAGGAACGGAGGGCGGACCATGGGAATGCCCTTCATTTCAAGGCAGAGGAAAGACTCCTCCATCATCCACAGCCCATCGAGTGACAGGCTCAGATCTGGGGTGCTCTGAGGAGAGCATGCGGGGACAGCAGCAAGGACAGGACACAGAT